AGGAGGGGGAGGAGGAGGGGAGGAGGAGGGAGGGGAGGAGGAGGAGGAGGAGGAGGAGGAGGAGGAGGAGGCGAGGGGGGGAGAGGAGGAGGAGGAGGAGGAGGAGGAGGAGGAGGAGGAGGAGAGGAGGAGGAGGAGGAGGGGGATGAGGAGGAGGAGGAGGAGGAGGCGGAGGAGGAGGAGGAGGAGGAGGGGCTCCACCAGGGGCTGAGAGGACACGCCTCCGAGAGCACTTCTCCCTGGTCTCTCGGCGCGGCCACGACGGACGGAACAGGTCCATAGGTCCCATGGTCCACCTCCTCCATCTTCTCCTCCTGTCCCTCTTTTTCCTCACAGGAGGGGCCGATACGTTTCAAGGCGATTTCGTACCACAGCGGAGTGTTTCACTTCAGGCGTTCGCCGAATATTTGCCTTGCGGGAAGAAGTAGGTCCCGGGGTCCACCGACTTCTTGGCTCTGGCCACCTCTTCAGCACAGACACGCGCATGCATCGCTGCGAGGACCGACTTCGGCGGGCCCTCACGCTGCGGATACGAATTCGGAGTGATCCTAGCTATGTTCTCCGCTCCTTTGCGAGACTTTCCCAGGCAGCGGACCTCAGGGTGACGGACATCTTCTGTCGCATACTTGCCACACTCATGGCAGAACGACATGCGATATTTCTGCCACTCTCCAAGCTCATGTGAGGGATGCAACACCCTCCCGCCCGAGCCCTTCCACCCACCACCTCCTGCAGCCCCGGGGGCACTGTTACATAAAGACGGGTGGGGGTGGGGCGGGCGGGGCTGGCGGCGGGGCGCACGGAGCGCGACAGAAATCCAGCAAAGCCGCGGCATGTACACGCTGATTGCAGACTTCACATCGCCAGTTCGCTCCGTCCTGGACCACCTTGTGGTCCGCGTCCCACAAGGCTATCTTCACGCCTCCGCCACCCGACACCCGAGGCGCGGTCTCTTCACGCTCCGCGCCGGACGAGTCGGCATCTGGGGCCAATGCAAGGCTTTGGAGGCTCTGCGCCTCACAAGTGCCGCTGCTGCATCCCAGCTGTCAGCGTGAGGCGCCTCATGCAGGACGAATCTATCCCAAGCCCGATCAGCCGCCTCCCCCGCCCCATGGGCAGCCGCAGCCATGAAGAGGTCCCTGTCAGTGGCCAAACGGCCCGCGTCCTCCTCTTCAGTGTGTGAGGGGACCCACTCCAGGGAAACGTCCCTGCCATCTGCCGCCGCCCGAATTCCAGCCCAGAGGTCCTCATTGGGCCCTCTGGTGGCCCTGCTTCTTCTCCTGGACCAGACTTTTAAAAGACCCTGATGGTCAGTGACGAAGTACACCGAGCCTGTGGTCTGCTCAAGGGCAATCGCAAGGGCAAGAGTCTCCGTTCGGGGCACTGACTGTCGGAAGCCGGGGAGTGTCGCTGCTATCATCGCGCCCAGGCACTGGCTATCTTCACGCCAGGCCAGGGCAGCGATTGCAGCTCCACACCTACGGCGACGCTGATCGTCCGAGTACTTCCCTCCCGATGCGTCCCCAAACCGAGTCAGAACCCCCTCCCTCCGATAGTCACCCAGCCCACAAACCCCGAATAACAAGGTTTCCTGGGCCAGTCGCTCTTCATCGAATCTGGGGGTGGTGAGGTGAATTGGCACAATGCCCCTCAGCCAGACCGAGGGCTCACTCTCTGCGCAGGCCAGCGCCCGCGCCACCAGATTCTCCGACTTGGCGAACTCACTGCCCTCGCTGACGTTCGCCGTGCACTGCCAGATTCTGTGCGTCAGCGTCTCTGGCTCCAGTCCGCAGCGTGGGCAGACCGCGCTGACGGCGTAGCCTCACCTTCGCTTCCTGGCACGGCTCCACCGCCCGCCGCAGGTCACCGCCATCGTTCGGCTCCACTCTGCCCACATGCCTCTGCCAGCAAATCGATCGAGCTCGCGTCTCACGCGCAGCACGTCCGCGCCGGTCTCCAGGCTGCTGCCGTCCTCATGGGCCGCAGCCTGCTTCCACAGCCGACGCCTGCTGTCCTCGCGGAGGTCGTGCAGGATGGGCTGCCGATCGATGAAGCTCCCGTGGGCCTCTGAGCTCGACTCCACCATCTGCCACTCCGTGATCGCACCGTCCATCTCAGGTCTGCTCCACGGTGCCGGCCGCGCGCTCGCAGCCCAGCCCGCGTCCGTGAGCGTGGCCAGTAGCGCCCCGACGGGGCCCCGCGCGCGGCGCCAGCGCCGACCAGCGCCGGCCGTCAGGAGCGCGCCGCGGATTGCAGGCCAGACTCTTTTGGTCACTGCGTGGGCCTCCGGCGCCGTCTCCCGCAGCTCCAGCTGCGGGACCACAGGCGCCGCTGCTGCCCGGGCACCGGCCCTGGGCCCAGGCGGGCGCTGAGCCGCCCCTGGAGGCGGGCGCTCGGGAGCCGAGCGCGCGGGGGGCGGAGTTTTTTTTTTTTTCTCTTTTGTTTGCCCTTGTGCTCCTGAGCCCCTTCGCCTCCTTGGCGAGAGCCGCGCTCCGCCTCGTCCTCGTGATGCGACCAGCGCGCCTGCCTGTAGCCAGCATCCTCTTGCACTGCTTCTTGCAACATCGCCGCCTGCCAACCGCTGTGTCGCCGCCCAGGGCAGTGGCATCCAACGCTAGCTGCAGCGGCAGGGCAGGCGAGGCCAGCTCCGCCTGCAGCTCCTGTCCCAGCCACGTGTCCGCTGCCAGCAGCTAGGCCTTGTTGGAGATGATCAGGCCCCGCTCCTCAATGAAGCCCTCCACGAACAGGTCTTCCACCTGGTTCATCTCTTGACCATCTGCATGGAGCCTTCACAGCGCGCCGTCGCGTCGGCCACGAACGTCCAGAGGGGCACCCGCGGGGCCACCTGGTGGGCCTTGTCGAGCACCCCGTGGATGAGCACCTTGGCCAAGGATGCTCCCCTCGCCGACCTCGCCACCACCGAGCGCGTCGGCCAGACCAAGTCACTGATACCGTGGCGCTGGTCCTTCGGGATGCGAGGGCTCAGGAAGTTCTCTACCTCCATGGCCACCACGATGGCTGGGTACTTCACCTGCACCGCCAGCTCCATGAGCAGCGCCAGGCTGATCATGTCGTAGAAGGTCTGGGAGGTCGAGGAGGAGGGTTGCCGACGCCAGCTGCATCTCCCTGCCCGCCTCGTCGAGCAGCGCGCGGTACAGCGCAGCCCTGAGCGCAGAGCACCCCGCAGGGCGCCGTCCCAGAAAGCCCCGAGCTCCTCCGAACAATTATCCACGATGCTACCGCGCGCTTTACTCCCGATCTTGGGCAACAAGGCTATCATGCCCAGCACCCTGTCTCCTCCTGCAGGCTTGGGCACAGAAGCCGCCACCACCGCAATGCATTGGCGAGGCCAGACGCCATGCTGCTCCGCGTCGTTCATCAGCTGCCTCAGCTCCTCGCGCGCCACTTGTGGGAGTCGCTGCACCTCAATCGAGCTCAGCACGTCCACGCTCATCGCCTTCCTGCCGTTGATGGCGTTCAGCGCCCTGTCGAATTTATCCAGCTCAATGGGCGGGTAGTCCTCCTCCTGCGCTACCTCCGAGATCTTCTGCAGCTTTGCCTGGATGTCCTCCAAGCTGGCCTTTGGGTCTTGCCACAACCCACTCCACTTGGTCGCCCTGTCGTTCAGGATCGTCGCAGGGTTCGCCGTGGTGGAGGTGGCGGTGCAGATCTAATTGATGATGGTCGGCTCGTCATTCACGTGCTTGCGCAGCACCCCCTATCTTGTCGCTCCACATTTTCATCGCCCACTTGGAGTAGGCCCTGCATGCTTCCCCCGTCTCGCGCGCCTGCCCCGCCGCCGCCAGCGCGCCCGTCAGCTCGAGCAACTTCTGCCAGTGCGCCAGCGAGAGGGTCTCCACCACCATCTTCTGCCAGGCCATGTAGCGAGCGTTGTCGAAGAAGTCGGCTATGCCCTGGTCCAGCGTCTCCTTGGCGATCCTCTTGAGCTCGCAGATCACCCGGCCTCGCTGAACCTCATCGCGCCTGCCGCGCGCGAGTGTCTAATATTTCTGCATCAGCGTGGGCGCATAGCACATGGTGTCGGACTTATGGCACTCCATGTGCGCTCGTCCTGGCGTGACCTTTGCCTTCGCCCACTTCAGGTCGAAGCCCCAGGTAACGCGTCTTCTCCGACTCCTCCACCTCGTGGGCGGCCAGCAGCGCGAGCTCCAGCTTGCTCACCCAGCCTCCTCCTGCTCCTCGCAGCCCTGGTAGGCGACGTGGTCGCCCAGCTGCTGCACAGGGCCCGTGCAGTCCGTCCGAAGCGGGACGGAACATCAGCCCCCAACTCCGAGCTCATCTTCCTAGCCCTCGCCGTGCGTTGCCACTTCGCCACCAGCAGCGGGAGCAGGCCCAGGGAAGGGCCTCGTGATCGGCCGATCTGGGGGGCCCATCTGCGCCTGCCTCCGGCACTCGAGTGGCACCTGGAAGGGCGCCGTGGGCTTCTGGCCGACCTCTTCCTCGAGCCTCTGCAGGAGCGCCTCCTGCTCCTCGGGGGGGGAGGCTCGGCCTCTCTTGCAGGCGCTTCTGCCTCGTCCTGCTCGTCATTGCTGCTGGGGTCGGCGCGCTTCTGCGGCCGCTGCGTCCGCGGGAGCGCCCTGGGCACCGCCGGCGCCCTCGCCCACCCCCTCCTGGCAGGGGCCCTTGCGCGTGATGAGCAGCGCGATGTGTGCACCTTCCACGGCGCCTCCAGCTCCGCCTCGACCTTCGCCTGCTCCGCGAAGTCCTTGCGCACCAGGCAGTAGTCCAGCAGGGGACCTTGCTCGCCCTTTGAGCACGTGACCTTCGTCCCCTTTCGGCGTCTTCGCAACGCCGCCGACCTTCTGCGGGAACTCGCTCTTCAGCAGCGTTTCCGGGTCCAGGTTCCAGTCCGCCGCCGCGATCCACGGGTCGTCCACGGCCCGCAGAAAGGCCGCCAAGCTCGCCAGCTTCTGGGGATTTGGTGAACCCTTCCCTCACTGAGGCGCCATGTACGCCGTCACATAGACCACGTTTCCCACCTTCGCGTGAATGGTGGTCGCCACGAAGCCGAGGAAGGGGTCGTCCCTGCCTGTCTGCTGCGCTGCCACTCGCACGTGGTCAAACGAGGTGGTCTCCAAGTGCCTCCTCGCCATAAGCATCTCACTACCGCAGCAACCTGTCTTACTCAGACCAGACGGGCGCGCTGCCGTAGCCGTGCACTTCCAGCCGTCGCGATCGAGGTCGATCGTGACATTCTTCTGCTTCTCAGGCAAGAGGTGGGTCTCGCAGATGCCCACCACGCTCACCTTCGGATGCTTCTGCTGGTAATCGTTCAAGAACTTGTGGGCCTGTGGCCCACTCTTCTCCACGTTGGCAAAGAAGAGCCGGCGATCGCCAGCCGTGCCCGACGCCGTCCTCGCGCCAGGACGTAGCTCGTCAAAGGTTCGACGAGCTATCGAGGCTGGCTGCGGCTCCACTCTTGCGTACACTCCCCCCAGCACCAGCAGCGCCAGCAGAAGCCGCAGCAGCGCCCGCGGCGCCTGGCTTGCCCTGCTTGCTGCCTTCCTTGGCAGCGGAGGCAGCGCGCTCCGACTTGATCTTCGCCTGGTAGTCCAGCAACTCCTTCTTCCGCTGCTTCGCTGCCTCTGGGTCTGGGACTGCCGCCGGCTCAGCGGCTTCCGCAGCTGGCTCTGCAGCCGGCTGTGCCCCAGGCTTCTCCTTGGCGGCCTCGCCTGCAGCCGCCTGGCCGTCCTCCTTCCTGCGCTTCTTACGCAGTTGCGTGCGCAGACTGGGGAGCTGCTCGACCTGCCGCACCAGGTGCTGATGGTGCTGCTCCGCCTGGGCGCGCAGCCGCTTGGCCTCTTCCGCGTGCTGCCGGCGGACCTCCGCCTGCTGGCGGGCGAGCTCCGCCTCCGCGTCATCAGCGTTCTGCAAGCACTGCTTCCCCGCCTGTTGGATCTCCTCCACCTTGGCGCGGAAGGCCAGCACCTCCTCCTCCTCGGGCCCGTCCTCGTAGTCGTCCAGGTTGGCGTCCAAGAGCCTGTCGTCAACAGAGAAGTCCAAGATCGTCTGCAGCGTCGCCTTCGCAAACTCTTCCTCCTCGGCCTTGACAAGCTCGCCCTTGCCCACCTGCTTGTAGTAGGCCGCGCAGGATCGCCTCATCGTGCAGGATAGACAGCCGCTCCACCTCATCCTCGCACTCCAGGGGCCACTTCTGCGCCTTCTGATACTTACCCTTGGCCTTCGTGAGCGCCTGCCATGCATCTGGCGCCTTCGGCTGCGGCGGCGGCGGTGCGTACTTGCGCTAGAGTTCCTCGACCTCCTTCGCCAGCTGCTTGACGTCCCCCGCGAGGTAGTCCAGCGCCGCCACCTTGCCATCTTTCTCTCCTGGCTTCGGGCCCCACCACGATCCCGCAGAGCTGCCCGCGTTCTGCTGACCGTAGTGGGCGCTGCGCCAGGGCGGCTTGCTCTGGAACGGCTCCAGCCACGCGCCGCACTTGCATCTCCCGCCTTGCTTGGTAAGCCGCCAATCGTACACCCACTGACCACACTCATTGCAGACTGTGAAGGGTTTACTCCTGGGCATTCTCTGGTTGAGCCCAAACGCAGTGTCACTGGCCTGTCCAGTCGAATCGCGTCTCTCATCACGCTCAAGATCAAACCGGCTTGAACCACAGGAGGAGGAGGAGGAGGAGGAGGAGGAGGAGGAGGAGGAGGAGGAGGAGGAGGAGGAGGAGGAGGGGAGAGATGAGGATGATGGGAGATGATGATGAGATGAGATGAGGATGAGAGAGAGAGAGGAGAGGAGGAGGAGGAGGAGGAGGAGGAGGAGGAGGAGGAGGAGGAGGAGGAGGAGGAGGGAGGAGGGAGGAGGAGGAGGAGGACCAGGACGAAGTCACGGTTGGCACTGGCCGTGCTTTCGCGCGCACCAGCGCGGCTCCCGAGCGGGGCCTTGCGCGGCACTCGGCTGGGCGTCGACGCCCCCGTGCCTCGGGCGTTGCGTAATCAAGGGGTTGTCGTCGGTTCGTCGTCGTCGTCGTCATCGTCGTCGTCGTCGACGCCGCCGCCGCGGCTGCACATGTGGGGGAGGGGGTGAACACAGGTGCACCTCTTCTGCACCTTGGGCCCCCCGAGGGGCCCCCCCTGGGGCCCAAAGGCGGCACGCAAGGCGCACGTTGCTTCGCCCCCCCATGCACGCGGCGGCGACCCCAGGGCTGGCGTTCAAGGTTAAACGCCGCCAGTGGCCCAACATCGGCCGATGTCGAGCGATCTGCCCCATCGGAGAGCCGCGATGGTCCAAAGTTGAACGATCCACGCGGCGTCAAAAGCCAACGGCCGTGACATCGCGTCGCGAACCAGCCGTATCGCCCCCCATGCATGCAACGCCCGAGTGCCCAGCCGCGCCCGCGCGGAGGCAAAGGCAAGGGGGGCGGCGGGTACCCGTGGTGGGAGCACATCAAGAGCAAGGGCGGCGGCCGCGGGGACGCGCAGCCGCAGCCGCCCTCTCGGCGTCCGTCGTCGTCGTCGGCGTTGGCGTCGGCGTCGGCGTCGTCGTCGTCGTCGCCGTCGCCGTCGCCGTCGCCGTCGCCGTCGCCGTCGCCGTCGCCGCGTCGCCGTCGTCCGTCGTCCGTCGCCGTCGTCCGTCGTCCGTCGCCGTCGCCGTCGGCCCCACCGCTCGCGGCGGCGTGGCGCCCTCGTCGGCGAGGGCGTGGGCGTGGCCGCTCTCGGGGCCCCGCGGCAGCTCTGCATGGCGGCGCGCACGAGAAGGGGTCGCGAGGGACTCTGCCGTGCTCCTGCTCGCTCGAGCATTTGACACGTGTGCGGAGCTACACTGTCAGTGCCACGCTCTCCTGTGGCTCTGCTGCGGCCCTGCTCTGAAGGCGCACCGCTTGAGGCGGCGGGGAGCTTGAGAGATCCATGCAGCATGACGCCTTCTGAAAACCAGCGGCCTCTTGTAAGGCAGGGGCCCTCTCCAGGAGGCCCCAGTGGCCTCCGAGAAGGCTGCATGTGCTTCTCAGACGCCCCCCTTGCTTTCTCTCGGAAGCCCCGTCGCCCTGCAGGAAGGGGCGCCGCCAGATGAGAGCATTGGCTGCCGTGGTCGCTTTTGGGCTCCCGGCCCTGGCCCCGTGGGTGCTCTCAGGACTCGTTCCAGGATCCCCGGAGACCTTGACAAGTATGAGGAGGAGGAGGAGGAGGAGGAGGAGGAGGAGGAGGAGGAGGAGGAGGGAGGAGGAGGAGGAGGAGGAGGAGGAGGAGGTCCGTAGCCATTTTGGCTCAAGACCAAACGGGGGGAAGCAACGAAGTTGCGAGGTAACCTGATTGGTCTTGACTGCGTCCGTAGTCAGGACCTCAAGCTTCCCCAGCGCGGCAAGACGGTCGGCCCGCGCACGCCCCTCCTTTTCACTTTTACTTTCCTTGTGCTCGGCCTTGGGGTGCCAGGGCAGCTGATCCGAGGGGCCGCGGGAACAGCTGACGGCGAGGCTGATCTGGAATCATGGCAAAACGTTCAGCGTCATCAGCAGTCGAAGGTGCAGGAGCTGGGGCCTTTCACCTGGTGGATGTTGTAGACAATGGAGATGGTCTACATGCGATGGTGGAGCAACTGCGGGCTGACCTGTCGGCCGACGTGTCGGAGTGCCAGGAGTCGGTCGTCATGCTGCAGACAACCGTCAACAACATGCAGTCGAAGGTGGTGGCGGCGTGCCAAAGCCTGGCTGCACAAGTCGATCAACGTCTCGAACCCGTTCTGGTTGCCCAGCGTGAGCACGCCACGCGCTTGGACACCATGGAGAGCGAGATCAAATACCTCAAGACGGAGCTGGGCATTGCGAGGTCGCCTGATGCGGCACCGCCGCGCCCCATGGTTTCGGCCAACTGGGATCGTGCGATCGACGCCACAGTCATCATCATCCGCACGAAGGAGCAGATGGCGAAGGACGCCGTGGCGAACGTCCTCCGCCCTTGGATTCAGGAGCAGAATTTGGCGGAGAACGAGTGGAACCTGGAAGGGGAGCCCACCAGCCGCCGCTTCGCGCTTCGCATCAGTGGAGCTACGGGCTGGGCGAGTAGGAAGGTCTTGCAGGCGCTGGGCACTCTTCGTCCTCAGGCTGCTGGAGCTGAATGGCGGAAGTTCGAAGGACTCTCGATCATTGGCAGTCGTTCCGAGATTTTCCTGGGCCCCGACAAACGCGAAGCAGATCAAGACCGAGCAGGCGGTCAAGACGATCAAGCGCATCCTCAACGTGCGCTACCCGACGCAGAAGGTGTTCACGGACAGGGCCAAGGGCATTGTGTCCATCAACTGGAAGCCGCTGCTGCAGGTGGTCCCGCAGGAGGGCGATGAGGAGACGATCGTCCGCTGGGCCGCGGCGAACCTGGCGGAGGCGGGATTCGACAGGGCCGTGCTGGAGCCGAGGATCAAGGAGCAGCTCTGCCGCGTCTCGGAGGATACGCAGTGGAGTCTTTAGCACGATGCACGTGCTCATGAGCGGCAGTCGCCGCCATCCAGTACCCCTTCGAGTTGTCGCGTGGAGTGCGAGTTCCCTTCAACACTTTAAGAATAAGGTCAGGCTGCGGCGGCGTCGCTACCTGGGGAAGTTGCTGCAGGAAGGTGCCATCGTGGCAGTCCAGGAGGTGCACGGCAATGAGGCCGAGGTGCGCGACCTTCTTCATCATCTGAGGAAGGACTTCTCCTTTTCCTCCTCCTTCTCGCCGCTCTCACGTCGCGCAGGTGGGGTGGTGACCTTTTTTTCCCAACTTCTCTGCCTCTCAGGATCGCTTAGCTAGATGCGGCGTGGACCGCCCAATTGTCTCCTCTCTCCCCCTCGTTCCTGGTAGAATCCTGAATACCAAGTTCGCTAACGTCGATAACACGGTGTGGATATCCCACTACAACATACACAACGAGAACACTAGTGCAGCTGATAAACGTCTCGTACTAGACGCCATCCGTCATGATCTTACCCTTGCTGAAGCTGACCCATTACAGAGGCTAGTTGTTCTGGCTGGGGATTTTAACTTTGGCTGTATTCCTCATCATAGTGTTACACCTGGTGGACCTGACCCTCCTCCTCCCGCCCCCGCCCCTGCTGGCCGGCGTGAACTCCTAGGGCGCCTCGCGGAATGCCAAGTTGAGGGCCCCACCGACTACCATCACGGGCTAAAAACTTTATCGTGCATCGACCGTATTTCCTCATCGGCCCCTGGTTGGGTCGCGACCCGGCATGCCACGGGAGGGGAAGTGCTGGATCGGCCCGAGACCCTTCAGGCCAGGAAGATTTCGGACCACAGTGCTGTTGCAGTTACTTTGAGGGCGCGAGGACCCCCTCCTAAAGGCAAGAGGCCCATCCCGATGATGCTGTTCGAGACTGCCGAATTCAAGCGCTTCATGCGCCTGGCGGCGCAGCTCGCTCCGATCGACGATCTCGAGGCATGGCAGAAGCATATTTACTATAAGAAGCTGATGATCGCTGGGGCTAGGTTCGCTCGCAACAGTATCATACTTCGTCGGCCCTCGTCCTCGCTAGCTGAGTATATGATCGTTCGGAGTGCTGCGCGCGCAGTTTTTCGTCAGGACGTTCGCCTTGCTGAGCGCCTGCAGGCGAGCCACTACCTTGCGAGAGACCACCTGCAGACAGACTTCGCCAATAACTCTGTCACCCTGTCGGCCCCTGAGTTGCTCGCTGAGCTTTCTAACCACGTGCGCTCCGAGGTTGCCCGAAAACAACAAGCCCAACTCCAGGACGCCGCTCAAGCTCATGGAAACCCTCTGGTGCAGCAAAAGCTTCGGGAGCGGGCCAAGAGGCTCCAGAAAGTGTCTTGGCTGCGGTCCCCTCTGGATCGTCGTCTATCTCTGGCAGGTGTCAGAGTTCCAGGTGGCCCTATTCTGTCGGAGCCGCCCCAGATGCTCCGCGCATTGGCTGGTCACCGGGAGAAGGTTTTTACGAGCCAACCATTTGACGAGCGAGGTGCTGCAGGCTTTCTGAACCAGTTCCCTGTGCAGATCGAGGCACTCGAGCTCCCGATGCCCCGGTTTGAAGATCTGCAAGCCCACCTTCGTCGGCTCCAGCATTCTGCGCCCGGCCCAGATCTTTTGCCGTGCGCGGCCTGGGTGAACGCGCCGCGCGGTGCGGAGGTGCTGTGCGATAGCTTGTCTCACACGCTCGATGGGCAAGGCTCTATCCTTGGATTTCAATGACATGTTGGGAGTTTTCATTCCGAAAGGCGAGGACCCCCAGGACGCCACGTTCATCACGAGAGAGCCTGGAAACACCCGCCCCCTGGGCCTGAAAAACAGTGAAACCAAGATTATTGCCAGCGTGTGCTGCCGAGCTCTCAGCAAGAGGGCCCCCGAGTTTTTGGACATGTCGCAAAAAAGGATTTGCTGCGGGAGGAAACTTTGGAGGCAATATTGTTGAGCTTGACGCTTTCGCTCGTGAGGTCGGACTTGTGTCCCCAGGAGGCTCTGCGGCTGGTGTCTTCTTCGACTTTGGCCAGGCCTTTCCGTCGGCGGCGCAGCAGTGGGTGAAAATGGTTGTCATGTCCCTCAGGATCCCCGAACCCCTGAAGGTTTTCCTCCTGCTGTTG